CCCCTGTGGCGCCCAGGAAATGCCGCGCGTGCCACGCCCTGCGAGCCAGCAGCGCATAGCGCCCCCAACCCCGGCGCACCACCTGCAGCATCGAGGAAATGCCACGCCTGCCGCGCCCTGCGAGCCTGCAGCGCATAGCGCCCCCGCCCCCATGCCCACCCCCTGTGGCGTCGAGGAACTGCCGCGCCTGTCACGCCCTGCAAGCCTCTGACGCATAGCGCCCCCGACCCCATGCGCGCCCCCTGCGGCGTCGACGACATGCCGCGCCTGCCACGCCATGCGAGCCAGCAGAGCATAGCGCCCCCACCCACAGCGCACCCCCTGCGGCGCCGAGGAATCATTACGCCTGCCACGCCCTGCGAGCCTGCAGCGCGTAGCGCCACCACCACCAGCGCCCCCCCGGCGGCGTCGAAGAAATGCGGCGCCTGCCGCGCCGTGCGAGCCTGCAGCGCATAGCGCCCCCATCCTCAGTGCACCCCCTGCGGCGTCGAGGAAATGCTGCGCCTGCCGCGCCCTGCGAGCCTGCAGCGCCCCCACGCGCGCCCCCTGCGGCGTCGAGGAAATGCCGCGCCTGTCGCGCCCTGCGAGCCTCCGACGCATAGCGGCCCCACCCCTGGCGCACCCCCTGTGGCGCCGAGGAAGTGTCACGCCTGTCGCGCTCTGCGAGCCTGCAGCGCATGGCGCCCCCACCCCCAGCGCACCCCCTGTGGCTAGAATCTGCCGCGCCCGCGACGCCCTGGGCGACCGCGCGCTTGCGTCTCGAGTGCATGGCGCAGTGCGTCTGCCGCGCCTACCGCGCCCTGCAAATCTTGAGCGCATTTGCATTGTGTGTGTGTGCATGCGCGCGGCTGCGTGCAGAACGCGCGTCTCACGCGCGCGCCGCGCACGCGCCCCCCGCGGGAGCGGCGAGGAAGACGAGGAGAGGAAGAGGAGGATGGGGAAACGGGGGGCGCGCGCGGGAGGAGACGCGGGCGCGACGCCTCAGGAGAAAAAAAAAAAACGCTAAGCATGCGAGGAGAAACCGTCACACACCTAGCTGGACTTTCTTGCTATCTTGAGAATCTCTAGAGTCTCTTCTGGGGGTTCTTGGGGGCCCCCTGGGGCGTCTCGGGGGCATCCTGGGCCGTCTGGAGCTTAGTGGGCCCTGGAAACGACAGGGCCGTGTTGTTACCGGTTCCGTGTTTCTCTTTTTTTAGCCGCCTCCGACGCCGTTTTGCTCGCCGGTTCCGTCGCCGTTTTTCCGCCGGTTCCCGCTCCAGTTCCTATCCTGGAGCCGTTTTTTGTCGTTCCCGGTCGTCGTTGTTTTGCCGCTTCCATTTTGAAAGAGGACGTTTTGAAAATGCGATTGAAAAACAGCCCTGCCGTTTCAAGGGCCCACAAAGGTCTGGAGGCCATCTTCGACGGCCTGGGCCGACCCGTTGGTGACTCGCGGCTCTCTTGGGCCGCGTCGCGGACCATCTGGGGGCCGCGCGCGCCGCCCGCGAGCGCACCCGTTGAAAGGGGCCGTCTTCCGCAGGCGCCTCGCTCGTGGCCGGCGGGGCCGGGGGGGCCCCCCGCGGAATCCCCCAAAGGGATACTGAGCGGGGGCCCCTCCTCAAGGTCGGGGAATCAATAAAAACGTGGACAGCAACAGGAACGGCCGCCCGGGCCACCAGCCACGCCGCAAAAGGACTCCTTCTGTAAGCCGCCGTAGGAAGAATATGTCTTGTATCCCGCCACACCGATAACCTCTTGCAGCCCGCCGTAAAGGGCATCCTTTTTCTCATCCGCCATGCAAGGAATCCTCTGCAACGGACGCGCGAGATGACCGAGGGCGCGAGGGCGCCGCGGGAAAGTGCCATGGGAAACGACACCAAACAAATCTCACGGCACGGGGAAGGAGGAGGAGGAATAGGAGGGGAAGGAGGAGGAGGGGGAGGAGGAGGAGGAGGAGGAGGAGGAGGAGGGGGAGGAGGAGGAGGAGAAGGGGGAGGAGGAGGGGGAGGAGGAGGAGGGGGAAGAGGAGGAGGAGGAGGAGGAGGAGGAGGAGGAGGGGGAGGAGGAGTGCGGAGGAAGAGGGGGAACAACGAAGTCGACCCAGCGCTGGGCCGTCGCCTCGAAGCAGGCCAACAAGCGGCCTCCCAGCACGAGGGAGTCGAGATGTCGCACGCCTTTCCCGCGTTCCCCGGGCGGGCCCGTCCGTGAGCTGACCGCCAGGGACGCTACGCTCATCGTCGCCCATGCCGCCGCGCAGCCGACGAGTGGCGACCAGCTCGCGATCGCCGTCCGCTCTCACCTTGACGAACACACGTCAGCCGAGGTCAAGGTTGACTGCGCAAGCGGGCGGTCCTGTGCCGTCGGCGACTGGCGCAGCCCATCGTTTGGCGCAGTCACCCGCACCTCGTAGCGCCACTTGGCCACCAAGGACGTGAGGAAACAACGCACGCGCACTTCCAATATTCGGAACGGCTCGAGCGGCGGGGTCGCCCTGCCGCCCCGCATCACGGCAGGTCCGACTGACCCGTCGTCGTGGACAGCCTCCTTCACCGCCACCGCCTGATCAAAGCCGAAAGAGGGCGCCTTGACGAAGGGAGCAGTTCCTGGCGCGCAAGGCCCCCGGCAGTGGGCCATGGCAGGGGCGGGTTTGGCCGGCGGCCCTGCGTGGAGCTCCCCCGACGCACCCGACCGAGCCCTTCGTGCACGCTCCCCCGCAGCCTGCCCAGGGATCGCCACAACCTCCGCCATGCCCCCTCAAAGCAAGCGAAGACGCAACCGGGAGTCGAAGGGCCGCCACGCTCGCGGCTGGCGCGGCCCAGTTCCGGGACGGGCTCCACCACAGACCTGAAAAACGAACAATGCGGGCGATGCAGGGGTGGCGGAATACGTCAGACGCTGGCACCGGATGCGCGGATGTCCGTTTACATAATTTCGACATGCTCATATATTTTGATATATGTGTGGATATGTATTCACACCTACATACATATACAGCGCGTCACACTTGCACAACATATTCTACACCACTACGAGCACACGAAAAACACTACACCACAAACGTTCTCGCGTCTTTGAAAAAGGTTCTACAACCATCCCCCCTGGGGTCTGAAAACCCCTCGGGGAACCGATGCGAAACGCATCGGATTCTGACCCAATGTCCATCCTACCTGTGAGCGCATACTATCCCATCCAGGCCGGTATCGCCCCACCGCGCCATCCTCTGCAACAAATACTAAACGCGCGCACTGTTTATCAACAGCCAAAAAATTTAAGAATCCTTTTTGCGAACAGTGTGACGAAGTGCACACGCGCGCGTCGTCGCGCGCGCATGCCCGAATCCTTCAGAAACCTTCGGTGCCGGAAGGAATTCGAAATCGATATTTTCGCAAAGCGGACCCCCCAAAAAACAACATGCGCGCGCGCTCTTGCGAATTCTGGGAAAAACCTGCAAGTTTTAAGTGTTTTAACGATTTTCATAAAATGCTACCAAGCGGGCTTCGCGCGCGAATGTCAAAATCGGTCGAACGCCCTTGCGCGCGCGCCGTCGCGAAAATCCTCGGCAACAAATGGAACGAAGTGCGCGCGCGCGCGCCGTCGCGCGCGCATATCGAAATCCGTCAAAAACTTCTGGTTCCTGGAAAGATTGCAAAAGCGAGTGTCCAAACAGCACGCAAACACACAAGGTTTTGCAACGCACAGTTTCAACAAAAGCGTGCCCGCGCGCTCTTGCGAATGTGTGGGACAGCTGTAACTTGTTCAACATGTTCATAACATGCTACTACCAAACGGGCTTCGCGCGCGCATGTCGAAATCGTTCGGCGGCCCTTGCGCGCGTGCTGGGGTGGCACGATCCGCGCCAAACAATACCATTCGAGCAACTCTCGCAAGTCTGCCGCGCGCGCATTCTGAATTCCTTTCGAAACCTGCGTCACCGACGCGAAGACGCCGTCATCGTCGTCAGTGTGAACGGTATCAGCGCCGTCACGGGCCGTGCCGCCGTCGCTGGCAGCAGCGCCGCCAAAATCGATACTACCATCATCATCGTGTCTACAAGCGTCGACGTTGCCATGGTACTCACCCCCCCAAGCCGCCGACTCGTACTCAAGTGCCCGCCTGGATGCGCCGAGCGGTCAGCATCACCGCGGCCGCGTCGGACGCACCAAACTGCCTGACCGCTGCGCACACATGCGCGGGCTGGCGCGGCCGCGGAGATGCACCAGCCAACGCCAAACACTCATCGCAATCGCCGCCGCGTGAGGTTTGCAAACCAAGTTGCGGGTGGGTGGGTGGGAAGTTTGCGCGAGTTTGGGAGTGGACAACTCACTGCGAACACGAATTCGTTGCACACCGTAATTTGCACAACATATGTTGTACCACGCAGGTTGCACCACAACCATTGCACAACATACATTGCACGGCGTAGGCTTGACAATATATTTTGCTCGAAGCACACAATTTGGGGTCCACGTTGGCTAACACACATAATTCGATACACGTAACCTATGTGTAGATATATACGTGTGCATACATACCTACCTACCTACCTACCTACCTACCTACATACATACATACATACATACATACCTATATACATATACGCATACATGCATACATCCATACATGTGCATTAGGGTATCTGGAGCGGCTGCTTTCGGGCCACAGCACGATTAGAATGGACTGCTCAGCATGAAAAAGCTGCCCCAGAAAGGGTGCGGGAGGTCCGTGGCCTCCCGGGTGCTTCGCACATATATGTATATGTATATCTAGATACATACATATAAATACACACATACACATATACTTGTATGATCAACGCCAGATGTCTGGTTCTTGGGCGTGTTCGCCAAAGCGCCTCGCCTCCCATGGTGGCCGCAGGATCGACATTACTCAACCTGGACCTCGTGGCGAGCCGAGAGAATAGCACTGGAGGCAGCTCGCCGATTCCACAGTCCTGGAGGCGAGGGCTGTGGAAGCAAAGTATGCCCTCCGGGTGGGGGGGCGTCTGGAGCGGGCCAGGTGGAGACCTGTAGCAGGTGTACTCCTGGTACTTCGAGGTAGTCTTTTCCACCGGTGCGTCACCGAGGTATAGGTTGCACCTCGGCAGTTGCAGAGTCTTGCACTTGGTGACCTCCTCGGACATCGCGGTCCAGGCGATGCCAGCGCACCCTTCCTTTGCCTCGCAGAGATCCTGCGAGGGGTCGCGCAATCACAATCTCAAAGGTGTGCCTTCAGAAACGGAAGGAACACATACGATCGGCACCGAGAGAGGGAGTTGCGAGCCATAGTGCGTCCGACGTGCTGGTATTCTACGACGTGCGTAGCCCACACGAACGATTGCACGAACTATTGCGTACTTTTTTGACACCCCTTTTCCAAACCTCCGACGTCGCGATTTATTCAGAACGTCGTCCTTCAGAGAGGTCGACCCATTCCCGGGGACCGCTTTTGCATCGTGAGTCGTTTTTTGACGCCTCCAGAGTCTGGCAAAAGCCCCCCGAGGCCGAATCTGGTCCTCCCGCCGTGATGTTTTCATGACTCGAGGGGGTCTGAGTCTGCAAAGGACCCCTCCACCCGACTCCGACGCCCGCTCTCTGGGGGCGCCGCCAGCCCGAGAGAGACGCGCCGAGAGGCGGCGAGCGTCCGAAGTGCGGCGCGCAGAGGGGCGGGCATCGGCCGGTGCCCAGCATGCAGGAGGCAGGGGCAGCCCTGGACCTTCGAGTGGGAGATGGACTACGAAATTGGTTTGCCCCAGACTTGACCTCCTCGTCGAATCTAGAGACGAGGCGCGGCCTTTAGCCTTTGTTTTCCTGGCCGCGACGAGAAAAAACAATTTGGGGTGCGAATCGACTCTGCAGTGGATTGCCTGCTCGAGACCTCCACCTTCCGAACCTTCCGCGCAGCAGGTGCCGCCGCGGCGCGGCCGCGGCGACCGCCGAGACCGCCTGTGCGGCCTCGGCGGCGGCCGCCTCTGCGGCCGTGCTGGCGGCGGCCGCTGCGCGGCCCGCGCCGTCCGGAGGGTGCAAAGGGCGGAGGAGGTCGAGGAAGGCTGAGCAGGCGCCGAGCACGGCAGGGGTTCTGGACGAACAATGAAAAATAGTCAAACAACTGAACAACAATAAAATAGTCCTTAACTATTGTTTGACCATGCTTAATGAAATCTTCCTCCAGTAGAGGGACACGCCCGAATTAAGGCAAGACGAGGCCAAGACGAGGACAATATCGCGTAAAGATGCTGCATCGCAGAGCTCTGAGACCTGGCGGCCCTCGAGGATGCCTCGGGCGCCGCGGCCTTCTGAAAGCCTTGTGGAACGCTCTGGAACGAATGTAGCCTCTGACTGCCGACCAAACCATCCCCCAAACCCAACCCGAATACCCAACGGGTTCCGCAGGTGCTTTTTCAATGTTCCCCCCCCCCTCCCCCCTCCAGAACCGGAGGGCAAATTGGGGCCTTCGGCCTGGGTCGGGGTGGTTTGGTGGGCGGTCGTCCTCGTCCTGGCCCCGCCCGGGAGGCAGCTGCACCCGCGCGCGGAGGCCGAGCGCAGGGCAAACGCAAGCGGTCTCGAGGCCAGCGTGGCCTCTGGCCGCGCGAGGGGCGAGCGCTGGAGGCCCTGACGCCCGCCGGCAGGACGCCTCCAAGCCTAAGACGATGCCAGGACGAACACCATGACGGGTGAGGGTAAGCCGGGAACCTTTGGAATCCGGCGGTTCTGGACGATGTCCCGGGCGCCGCGGCCTTCTCAGAGCGGTCGGGAGCGAACCCTCTGGGAGCGTTCCGGAACGCTCTGGAACGAATTTATCCTCGTCCTCGTTAGCCCTGTCCGAAATCCGCGGCCCTTCGGAACTCCCGCCCCCTTCCCCAGGGGGCAATATTGCGGCTCGGGCGGGTGGTATCACGCGGGGTGGCCTGGCGCGCGAGGGGCGGCGCGCTGGAAGTCGTGACGCCTGCCAGCATGACGGTTCCAGTCCGCGGCCTCAAAGCTCCCGGCCCTTTCCTCAGGGGGGACTGTCCTGCGTTTCGGGCGGGTGACACAATGGAGGGTGGCCGAAGTGAGGGGTGCCGAAAGAGATCCTGAATCGGGCCCTTGAGGAACCCTGTGGATTTCCAATACGCGGCCTCGGGACACCCAGCCCTTTCCCCTGGGGGGGCAGTCTTGCGTCAAGGGCCCTGTCCTCCACCCACCACTTATTTGGACGCCCGAAACGGTTACTGGAAAAACGAGGGTACGACATCAAAGCGACAGCGGCCGTTGTTGGGCAGGCGGTCTGCTGTCTCAAATGGACACCGCCCGCGGCGACCCCGCCAGCAAGTCCGGCTCAAAATGAGCAGGAACTGCTGTCGGTCTTCGTACGGACTGGGCATTGGATAAGGAACCCTTGGATAAGGAATCCACGGTCTGGACGCCATTGGATCTTCAATCGTGGATCGGCCATGGATACCACCGCCGCCTTCACTGGCGCCTCCTGGGGTTGTTCCTTACCAAACGCCTGAATCGTACCCATGTCTTTGTCCCCCCTGACTTGAATAGGGCTGGGGGGTCAGGTCTGCATAACACCCCAAATGGACGTCAACGGGCGCAACCAACCTGTCCAGTCAAGCTGAAACTGATGCACTACACCCGGAGTCAAGCCTAAACTTTTGACATGAAAGCGACTGGTTGGACTTCGCACATCTTCGTCGGCTGCACCAGCGAGGCGGTTGACCACCTTCGCGTCCCATTTTTGGTGGTCATGCAGAGGAAGGCTCTCTCCGACCCTCGACCCTATTCAACCCATGCCCATCCGCCCATGTGGAACGTACGGGAGTAGCTGTATGGAATACAAAGAGACACGTAGTACAATTAGGGGGGCCCGTGCTGAGAGAGAGAGCACGACAACTTTCCTTGTGCGGGGGCTCGCGCGCGCCCGCCGCCAGCGCGACAAGTAGCTCAAGGGCCCTGCGAGCCAGAGCAGCGGCAGGGCAGAAGAGGTGAGAGCGAGGCGCAGGAGGAACGGCTGAAAGATGTGTGACAACCACAGCCCGAGCGTCCCGGATCCATTCGAAACGGTCCCCGGGGCCCCGAAGCGGGCCTCGCGAGGGCCGAGATCGAGGAAGAGAACGACCGCGCCGCAAGTGAATATCGCAGGACAGCCAGGCACCCAGCGCTCGCCCAGACCAGCCGTGCCACGCGAGCTTGGGCTCCTCCTCCTCCTCCCCCTCCTCCTCCTCCTCCTCCTCCTCCTCCTCCCTCTTCTCTCTCCTCCTCCTCCTCCGAGCTGCTTTGAGGAGCGCTGGGCCAAGGCGGAGTGGGGACGTCAGGGGGCGACGGGCTCGGGGAGGGGGGGTATCGGGCTGGGAACGGCGATGCGTCGCCGGCAGAACGGCACGCAGGCCCCCGGGTAGCAAATGCGCAAGGTCCTGGGCGGTGTCGGCGGGGTGGGCTATCCAGCCCCTAGGCGATTTGGGGTCGCGGGGAAGAGGAGGGGGGCGAGGGGGATGGGAACTGCTAAGTTCCACCATCGGCCATCGAGGATAAAACCAATGTGTTTGGACGTGCTCGTTGCCACTTTGCCATTGTGGTTGGCCTTGGGAAGCCGCCCGGGGTCCATCGACGTCCGGGGTGACGGTCAAAATCCTGGGCAGTACTGCGTCTTGCCGATGGGAACAGGGGTTCGGGGGGGGGGGCCAGAACAGGGGCGAGGGTCCTCCTTCTCTTCCTCCTCCTGAAGGGCTTCTCCCTTTGCCTCTGCATTCCTCTTGAGCTTCCTTCCCTGACTCTCCCCCTCCCCCTGCTCCCCATCCTTATCATCACCAGCCCTCCTCATCCTCCTCTCTCCTCATCCACGACATCATCATCACCTTCATCAGCGTGTTCGTCCCTCTTCAGCATCCATCCCCCATACCTATTGTTCCCCTCTTCTTATCCGCCGCCATTATGGGACCCCGTAAAACCTTCAAGAATCCACAACAACGCTCAGCACACATGGAAACAATGCTAGAACATCTCAACTCAAACAAAGATGCTCCATTCCCTGCGGCCGTCGTTGTGGTCGTCGTCCTCGTCGTCGTTCTCCTCCTCATCCTCATGCTTCTCCTCATCATCCTCATTATCTGCTCCCTCCCCTCCGTTTTGACAAAAAAAAACTGGCTCTTAAGAAACTTGTTGAATCCTCCGCATACTTTTTGCAAACCGCAGGGGCCCATCTGGAAACCGCCGGGAAATCGGAACTCCTTCCGAGAATCCCCCTCAACATCGCCTGAAACATTCGAAAATCCCGAGACGCCCATCAAGACGCATCGAATACCATCGAACAGATTCTGCCCTCGGGGGGTCTCCTTGCGGCACAGGCAGGGCTCGAGCTCGAGGCAGGTCGCCACCGAGCTTCCCAAGTTTTCCAGAGCACCAAGGCGGTCCGAGAGGGCACCTGAACGCCACCAATAGTGCCCAAGAGAGTTCAAATAGAGCCCCAGGAAAGAGCACGATCGCGAAAGGGGGCTCTATTGGAACTCTCTTCGGCACTCTTTGCGGGGCCTCCTCCAGGAGCACGCGTTGCACGCATAACCCAAATTGCCACGCAAAAGGTTTAAGTCCCCCGCTCCCTTCGCGATCGATTCTGTAGCTCCGCAAGCCCGTGCCCGACCAAACCCAAAGCCAGGGCAAGCGAAACGGTCCACCCAAGCAAACGGGTCGACGGATGTCGCGCCAGCCTCCCACGAGGGAGGAGGGATAGATGGATGAGGGAAGGAGGAGGGGGTGACGAGGAGGAGGAAGGAGAGGAGAAGGAGGAGGAGGAGGAGGAGGGAGGAGAGGAGAGGAGGTCGGATACAGGAAGGAGGGAGGAGGGAGGCGAGGAGGTAGGATGCAGGCAGAGGCACAAACAGCTGCATGCACATAAGAGCTCGGAGGCCCGCACGGACATTCTTGTATCGGCGTTGGACGCCCTTCCCTGGCGTTCGGAGCGCGGCGCCAGGGGGGGGGCCTGCCAGAGGGCCCAGCGCCGATCCAAGTAATCCGCGCGGACTGGTGAGAGATCTTGGCCTTTGTTTTCAATGCAGCGATCTTCATGAAGGCGCCTTGGTTGCTCCTGACTGTCCATGGCCACCGGAGCGGCCGCGGAGTGAAGCCAAACACGGAGCAGCTGCACTGCTGGGGAGACGATACAGATGTACCGTTGTTTGTTCTTCGAGGGAGGCGCTCCTTGCAGGGCTGCAGCTCCAGGCACTCCGTCTTCGGGTCCCAAGGGTGGTCCCCGCTCGTGCCGGAGCCGCTGCCGGTCCTCGCAGTGCGCGCGCCGGCTGCCACTGCGGCGGCCGCCGTCGCCGCCGCCGCCGCCGAGTCGGGGATCGAGGCTCAAGGAGGAGTGGGAGAAAGAAGAGAAGGAGGAGGCGGACCCGTATCCTAGTCAGCCGTTGCAACGTCAAAAGGAAAGAGGAGGAGGAGGAGGAGGAGGAGGAGGAGGAGGAGGAGGAGGAGGAGGATGAGGAGGAGAACGAGGCGGAAAAGGAGGAGGAGGGGCAGGAGGAGGGGCAGGATGTGGAGGAGAAGAAGCGGGGGGAGGAGGAGGGGCAGGAGGAGGACGACGACGCACGCCTCTGGGGCACAGTTCGATGTCTGGGCAGACTAGACGCTCTAGGACCGGCTTACAACCGAAGATTTCGTGCACGCGCACGCCCTATGAGGATCCACATCTTGTCAATAGTTGCATCCGACCCTCAAGCAAACCTGTCAAGCTACAAACGTGGAGTAGCCCCCTCTGCGCAAACAGAAATTGAAACGGATACGCCGGGAACCATCAATCACTGCGCGGGGCCCCCAACCCCGGAGATGGTATTACCTCCTACCCTGAAGCAATCCAAGCATGCTTCTGATCGTGGTGCTGTCCCACCCGGCGGCTCGCATTGAAGCAGCCGCATCACGGGAAGCAGAGTGAGGATCGTCGGAGGGGGGAGGCATGTTGGCAGGCCGGCCCCTAGACCCGCCCCGCTCACTCGCCCTCCGGTTCCGGGTGCTGGGACGCTCTGGAATCAGCACTCCTCCCATTTGCACAGGCCTGTGTGGATGATCCGTTCGAGGTGGTGCATAGGCGCCACTCCATCCTTCCGCTGGGCGCCGAGCTGCTCCAAGCAGCTGCTGATGATATGGGTCTCCTTGCTCACACACATCTGAATTTTGGCATCCGTTTCCTTGTGCGCGTTGGACACCTTGACCAGGGCGAAGGTTTTTCCGGCTGCGTCTATGCTCATCTGGTCCATGTGGCCCTTGAGCTCCTGCAGGTTCTTGAGGTTCGCTCTCCCCACGCCCTCCCCCTCTGCCAGGAGACCCTCGACCAGGCCCACAACCGCCGCGCACGATATCGTGCCGAACTGAGCGAGATCGCCCTCGCTCTTGTTCTCGGCCCTCGCCTGTTGGACACGCTCCAGCCAACCTCGAACACGCTGCCGCGCCATGGTCACAGGCTTCAACCCGATCGGGGCTAGCAGGGTGATGATAGTGATTGCCTCCACCTGCCGCGTCCGGAGCGCCAGGTTCAGGACCAACTTCATCAGCACTGGGAACAATCTGCCAATCTCTGCGGGTTCCATGGTCTCCAGCGCGTCCATCTCTTCGCTGCCGAGGCGTTTGTTGTCGGTACCCTTGGCGGGCGCGCCTTGCCGGACCCTGGGCACCTTGGTCCTGCCCCCCTGGCCCCCCTTGCCGCTGTCGGAGCCTCTTGGCCGCCTCTGGCTGCCCTCGTTGACGTCCATCGGGACCGCCGCTGGCATCGCACTGAACATGCCAAGAAAAGTCGGGCAACGGTTCAGGCAAGTGGGTGCGCAGGTGGACCTGCAGGAGCTTGTACTCCCGAAGCGGCTGCAGGCAGACGGGGCACGTAGCGTCGGCCACGTCGACAACAGGGTAGTTGCGGGCCGATGCACCGACGATGCATCGACCATGTTGGTACGCGTGGGTCAAGTGCCTAAAAGCTGTCGTTCGGTCTTTGAAAGTAGACCGGCACGCGACACACTGGTTCGTCATGGTCAGGGAAGCAATAAGCCCACCATTCCCGTGTTGGCCCCCATTAGATTGCCGCTGGTGTACCAACAGTGCCCTACGAGTCCTGAACCGCCTGTGGCACGCACAACCGTCAGCATCCAGGAGCAAGCACTCATGATCCCCATCCGCTGTCTCACCCCTCTCCACCTCGTCTGGGCCAGCTGGCGGTGGTGGGGTCAGCAACCATTCAGAAATCCATCAGTCGGAAGATCCTCCGCGCCTCACCATTCCGGAACACGTTGAGGGTGTCCGTACCGATAGCATCCCACAAATCCCTCCCCACTTCCAGGCTTCGGAGGCTCTCCAGGTCCTGCACGAATAGCCGGGCCCACGGGTTGGTCATGGCAGTCGATTTTGGGGCCCCCAGATCGTGCGGCATCCACGGAAAAAGCTGGGGTCGTGGGTCCTCGAACTTGAATGTACCGAAAACAGCAGAAAGTTCCTGGGCATGCCATGCAGGGTTAGCAGCAATTTTCTGCCAGCCTTTCAACCTCTGGGCCCGCAGTTCGACGCTAATTGGGACAAGGCCGAGTCGTCGCCAAACCTGAAGATTCGACAATGACCGGATGACCGTCACCTCCCTTCCCTCCCTTCGCAGGAGGAGGAGGAGGAGGAGGAGGAGGAGGAGGAGGAGAAGGGGCTCGAGGAGGAGACTCGAGATTACTCGGCGTTTCGGGCAGTGTTGGGTCTCCAGGGAGGCCTCACGCAGCGCCTCTGAGGGCCTCGAGAGGCCTGGGGCGACCTCGGGAGCCTCCGGACACGTCTGGACACCTCGAGGATCGAGGCTCGGGAACCGCGGTTTTTCCCCAAACGGCTTGCCTGCTAGAGTCCGGTATGCTTCGGCGAACGCTCCGGTGAGGGATGCTGGCGCCCGCGAGATCTGTGGCCCAGCGTGCGCCCCCGTCGTTGACACCCCATCGCGGGCCCCGTTCAGGCATGTCCCCCTACAGGCGGATTCTGGACGAGAAAGAAAACAGATTCAACAAACAAACCAAAGCATACTCAATACAAATAGAACATCGTTACCTGACTATCTTCACTATGTTTGAACATTTCTCCTGTGGACAGGCCCGACTTAAGCATAGTGTCCTTTCGGGCTCTGTCGGCCCCGCCTGCACCTCCAGAGGCGCTCTCGCGGCCACGGCTGCGTCCGCCTCGAGACTTGTGGTCGGGAAGCGCACCAGGACAGGTCCACGGACCGTCGCCCTCGCCATCGTCGTCGTGATCCTCGCCGCCGTCGTCCTGGCCAACGCCCTCGACCTCACTCTCGAGGCTGACGAGGCTACCCGAGACTAACCAACCAGGGCAACCCAGGGCCCAGGGCTACCCGAAGCCGCCTGGGCGCGGCGAGGCGCGTTCGACGCCGGTGGCGCTCGGAGGGGGCGCACGCGGGCGGCAGCGACGGCGACGGCGACGACGGCGACGGCGACGGCGACGGCGACGGCGACGGCGACGGCGACGGCGACGACGACGACGAGGACGACGACGACGACGACGACGACGACGACGACGGCGACGACGACGACGACGACGACGACGACGACGACGACGACGACGACGACGACGACGGCGCCGACGACGACGACGACCTCCGCGCCGCCGCCGAGGGCCGCCGAAGGGCCGCCGAAGGGCCGCCGGACGGCCGCCGGACGGCCGCCGGACGGCCGCCGGCGGAGGGCCCGCGACGGCTCTCCTGCAGTAGCCCGTGCCGACCTCCACGAGGCCCGAGCTGGCGGGCCGCGCCGCGAGGCCTCCGGCCGCGGGCCCGGCGGGTAAGACGTGCGCCTCCGCACCTAGGCCCTCGGGCCACCAGGGCTGACAACCTGGTGGCCATCCCACAGCCCAAGCCGACGACCCAGACTTCGGGTTGGAGGGGCACAGGCCCCACGTGCGTTTGCCAATGTTCCCCGACGCCCCTCCCCCCTCCCCCCACTGGGAGTGGACGGCCGAGCGATGGCGAGGCTGTGGGATGGTCACAGGGGAACAGGAAGTGACATACACATAAAAACTCGGAGGTCCGCGCGGATTTCTCGGATCGGCGCTGGGGCCCCCCGGCGGCGCCTCCAGCGCCGCCCCTGGCGCGCTCCGCGCGCCAGGGAGGGGGGTCCAGCGCCGATCCGAGAAATCCGCGCGGACCTCCGACTATTTATGTTTATGCCACTTTCTGTTCCCCTGTGACCATCCTACAGCCTCGCCATCGCTCGGACGTCCATTCCCTGTGTTTTTTGTGGGTGTCAAGGATGCTCCTTAAGAGTCCCCGCCGAGAAATAAAAAAAAGTACACGTCCGAGCGACACCAAGCAGCCCCACCCGAAGACCCAGACTTCGGGCTGGCGGGGCACAGGCCCCACGTGCGTTTTCCAATGTTCCCCGACGCCCCTCCCCCCCCCTTACTGGGAATGGAGGGCGAAGTGGGGCCTTCGGGTCGGGCTGGGGTGGCTTGGTGGGTGGTGAGCGACTGGGAGGCGGGAGGAGCTCCTGCGGGAACCCCTCCCTCATGCCAAGCTCGCGCGCGTGCCGCCGCCTCCGCCTGCATGCCCCCGCGCGTACTGCGCCCGAGCCCGCGCGACCGAGGGACGACGACGAGGGACGAGGAACAGCGAGGCTCGACGATCGGGCCTCGAGGGTGGAGAATGATCAGGGATGGACGTTTTGTATGCTCAGGTGCTGCTGTTGCTGCTTTGTCGCTTGCTGGCCCCTCGTGCGCCTCTTGCAGCTTGCAGCCTCGACAAAGAGTCTCCGGGGGAGCCTACCCCTGGAGACCGCCAAAGGTAACGTAAAGAGCGAGGTACGAGTGATGACAATGTGTTTTGGGCGAAGCCCTTAAGGGGGAGTGCCGAGGGGGGGGTAGGGGGAGGGAATGGGTGTTAATGGCCGTTTTCGGGTTTTCCGCCAGTTTTTTTGTATGTTTGTCGGGTTCCCCCCCAAGACGGCCCAAGAGCGCTCCAAGACCGCCCAAGACCGCCCAAGACGGCCCAAGAGGCCCCCAAGAGGCGCCCAAGGGGCGTCCCAAGAAGGCCGCAAAAGGCCAGAATCATTGCTTCTCCTTAGGAAAGCGTGCATGTTTAGCATATACGGCTTTTCGGCTTTCACGGCGTTGACGACGGCCCAAGAGGCCCCCAAGACCGCCCCCAAGACGGCCCAAGAGGCCTCCAAAACGGCCCAAGAGGGCCCCAAGACGGCCCAAGAGGCGCCCAAGGCGGCTCAAGAGGGCCCCAAGACGGCCCCAAGAGGGGGACCACGAACCGAAAAGTCTAGCCTTTCGCCCCAAGAGGGCCCCAGGAGGCCCCAAGAGCCCCCCAAGAAGCCCCAAGAGGCCCCCAAGAGGCGTCCCAAGAGGCCGCCAGGAGGCCAAAATCATTGATTTCCGAAAGGGGAAAGGTACATGTTTAGCATACGCGGCTCTTCGGCTTTCACTGCGTTGAAAACGGTCCACGAGGCCCCAAAGTCCGTCCCAAGACGGCCCAAGAGGCTCCCAAGAGGCCCCCAAAACGGCCCAAGAGGGCCCCCAGACGACCCAAGAGGTGCCAAAGACGGCCCAAGAGGGGGACCACGAACCGAAAAGTCGAGCCTTTCGCCCCAAGAAGCTCCCGGGAGGCCCCCAGAGCCCCCCAAGAAGCCCCAAGAGGCCACCAAGAGGTTCCCAAGAGGCCTCCAACCGAGCTCTAAAAGGGCCCCAATAGGACTCCCAAGAAGGCACAGAGACGCCAAATAAAGAGCGGTCGGTCACGCAAAAAGCTCTTCACACCAAGGCTCCCAAGAGCGAACGGTGACGTAAACAAGCTGATAAGACCAAGGCTCCCAGCAGAGAGCGGTGACGCAACAAGTTCCTGACACAAAGGCCCAGCCAAGGCTCAGGAACGGGCGGCAACGCAACAATCTCTGCACACCAAGGCTCCCAAGAGCGAGGGGTGACGTAACAAGCTCTCAACGCCAAGGCTCCCAGTACGAACAGTGGTGTTAGTAATTTCGGTTTCTGTTTCGGAAGCGCTCTTTCCGTTTCTGTGCCGGGCCAGGTCTACAGGACCGAAGTCGAGGGTCGATGTCGTTGGGCGGGTTTCGCCCGTATTGGGTTTCCGCGAAGATTCTCCTCGCCACCGCAGGATCCACCCCCAAATCCTAGCCGGAGCACACCCCCCTAGACCTTGGGGGTGACTTTGAGGCGGGACCGAGACCTGCAGCGTCACCAAAAAGTCAAGGATGAGCTTGTTTGGGAAGTCTGGGCGCATGTGGCTGTTTTCGCGCACCGTGACCCAACTGCCTTGCTAGCGTCCGATATGTATTGAAATGGAGGAAACCAAAAAAAGATGGAGGCAAGTTCCCGGTGCTGCAGTGTGTGCTCATGCAGTACCCACGACGGCGGACCAGTCCCACGAAGAGGGGTCGAGAGGTCTGGGCAAGGCTTTCCGAACGTGGGCTGGGCAAGCATCTGTCGCTCCCCATCTCCACCAAAGAGATGGGGATGAGGAGGAGGAGGAGGAGAAGGAGGAAGAGGAGGAGGCGGAGAAGGAGGAGGATTGAGATACGAAGTCTAGGGGCACCATTGACGTCGAGTGTTAGGCTCCCTGAGGAGGCCCTGGGCTTCTGTGGGTCCCCGGGGCCATTGGGGGGGGGATCGAAGCTTCTGTGGGGCACCTGGTGACAGGCGAATGGCTCAGTCGACCTGCCCACGATTGGAGGAGGAGCGAGACGGGGAGCCAAGGACAAGAGGGGGGGGGGGAAGGAGGGCAGGGAGGAGGGAAGGGGGGGTGAGGAGTAACGACAGAATATGAGGAAAAGGCGGATGAGCGAGGGCGAGGACGCGAAGGATTCAGGACGAGGAGGAGGAGGACGACGACGAGGAGGCGCACCGACGAGGAAGGGGGACGCGGAGGCGGCGGAAACGACGACGATGCCGACGGAGCCAGCGGCGCTGCGACGGCGACGAGGGTGGCGTCGACAGCCGTGACGCCGTCGGCGGCGCCCTCGATGGCGGCGGCGGCGCTGGCGCTAGGTCGGGCATGTCCCCCTACAGGCGGATTCTGGACGAGAAACAAACAATGGTAAAAAAATGCCCCGGTACTGCCCAAGATAGTCCCAAACTCGTCACCAAAGAGTATGTTGGGACTGCTCTTGAATGTTCCTCCTGTCGAGGGACACGCCCGACGGAACGCCGGCGCGGACCGCGGCGGCGGCGGCGGCGGCGGCGGGCGCGCGCCGCAGAGCGCGAGCGCCAGCCGCCGCCGCGGCGGCGCCGGGGCGGCGGAGGCCATGGGCCCCTCGGCGCTGCAGGGGCGCCACCGGCCAGGCCAGGCCCGGCGCAGACTACAGTGAGCGGCCGCCGGCTGCAGGCCGCCTGCGCCCCTTGAGCCTGGGAGCCGGAGGCTTAGGTCGGGCATGTCCCCTTACAGGCGGGTTTGGGGAGGAACAAGAAAAATCGTCGAAATAAAATCAAAACTATTATCCCGGCAAAGCAACCTAACAGCGATGTGTAGAAGCATATATGATAGCATTCCCCTTAAGATTCAGATGAGAATCCAGTTGTAGAGTTCTGCTGTTCTCGCAGTCGCAGTCGCATTCGCGATGACAGTCGCAGTGGCCGCGGCAGTCGCAGTCACAGCCTCAGCCTGCCTCAGTATCAGCCTGCCTCAGCCTCAGCCTCAGCCTGCCTCAGCCTCAGCCTGCTTCAGCCTCAGCCTCAGTCTGCCTTCAGCCTCAGCCTCTGTGCCTCAGCCTGCCTCAGCATCAGCCTGCATCCGCCTCAGCCTCAGCCTCAGCCTCAGCCTCAGCCTGCCTCAGCATCAGCCTGCCTCAGCGTCTGCCTCAGCCTGCCTCAGCCTCAGTCTGCCTTCAGCCTCAGCCTCAGCCTCAGCCTGCCTCAGCATCAGCCTGCCTCAGCCTCAGCCTCAGCCTCAGCCTGCCTCAGCCTCAGCCTGCCTCAGCGTCTGCCTCAGCCTGCCTTCAGCCTCGGCCTCAGCCTCAGCCTGCCTCAGCCTCATCAGCCTCAGCCTGCCTGCCTCAGCCTCAGCCTCAGCATCAGCATCACCATTCTCAGCCTCTGCATCAGCATCAAAATGCGGCCCGGGAATGGAGTTCTGGGAACTCGAAGAGCACGAAGTGGCCTACAGTTGGCTCCGGGCATTCAAAATGTGGCCCAGGAATGGAGTTCTGGGCACTCGAAGAGCACGAAGTGGCCTACAGTTGGCTCCGGGCATTCAAAATGTGGCCCGGGAATGGAGTTCTGGGAACTCGAAGAGCACGAAGTGGCCTACAGTTGGCTCCGGGCATCCAAAATGTGGCCCGGGAATGGAGTTCTGGGGGGAATGGAGTTCTGTCGAAGACCACGAAGTGGCCTACAGTTGGCTCCGGGCATTCAAAATGTGGCCCGGGAATGGAGTTCTGGGAACTCGAAGAGCACGAAGTGGCCTACAGTTGGCTCCGGGCATTCAAAATGTGGCCCGGGAATGGAGTTCTGGGAAGTCGAAGAGCACGAAGTGTTTGACTGTTGCATCCGGTTATTCAGAATGTGGCCTGGGAATGGGTTCTGAGAGGTCGACGAGCACGAAGTGTGTGACTGTTGGTGAAAAACGAGCCCGGCACAGGCCCGGCCGGCAACTCCCAACGCCTGCCCGGACCCCCCTGTGGAGTGATCTGTGAGCTCTTTTGAGTCAACTAGAAACCTATCAGTCTACGCTGTTAGGTAATTTTTTTGTAAAATCAAAACTATTTTTTGGTATCGAAACAAATTCGAAACAAAATCGCAACTATTTTTTGATATCAAAAGCAAAATCAAAAATAGTCGAAACAAAATGAAACTACTTAAAAACAGAATTATCCCGGCAAAGCAACCTAACAGCGATGTGTAGAAGCATATCTGAAAGCATTCCCCTTAAGATTCAGATGAAAATCCAGTTGTCGAATTCTGCTGTTCTCGCAGTCGTAGTCGCATTCGCGATGACAGTCGCAGCGGCAACGGCAGTCGCAGTAACAGCCTCAGCCTCAGCCTGCCTCCTCCTCCTCCTCTTTCTCCTGCTCCTCCTCCTCCTCCTCCTCCTCCTCCTCTTCCTCCTGCTCGTCCTCGTTCTCGTCCTCCTCGTCTTGCTCGTCCTCCTCCTCCTGGTGCTCTCTCCTCCTCCTCCTCCTCCTCCTCCTCCTCCTCCTCCTCCTCCTGGTGGTCCTCGTTCTCCTCCTCCTGGTGCTCTCCCCCCCCCTCCTCCTCCTCGTCCTCCTCCTCCTCCTCCTCCTCGTCCTCCTCCTCCTCTTCCTCCTCCTCCTCCTCCTCCTCCTCCTCCTCCTGGTAGTCCTCCCCCTCCCCTCCTCCTCCTCCTCCTCCTCTTCCTGGTCGTCCTCGTTCTCGTCCTCCTCGTCTTGCTCGTCCTCCTCCTCCTGGTGTTCTCTCCTCCTCCTCCTCCTCCTCCTCCTCCTCCTCCTCCTCCTGGTGGTCCTCGTTCTCCTCCTCCTGGTACTCTCCCCCCCCCTCCTCCTCCTCCTCCTCGTCCTCGTCCTCCTCCTCCTCCTCCTCCTCTTCCTCCTCCTCCTCCTCCTCCTCCTCCTCCTCCTCCTCCTCCTGGTACTCCTCCCCCTCCCCTCCTCCTCCTCCTCCTCCTCCTCCTCTTCCTGGTCGTCCTCCTCCTCCTGGTCGTCCTCCTCCTCCTGCTCGTCCTCCTCCTCCTCCTGCTCGTCCTTCTTCTCCTGCTCCTCCTGCTCCTCGTCCTGCTCCTGCTCGTCCTCGTCCTCCTGGTCTTGCTCGTCCTCCTCCTCGTCGTGCTCTTGCCCCTGCTGAAAATGTGGCCCAGGAATGGGAGTTCTGGGAAGTCGAAGAGCACGAAGTTGCCTGCAGTTGGCTACGGGCATTCAAAATGTGGGCCCGGGAATGGAGTTCTGGGAACTCGAAGAGCACGAAGTGGCCTACAGTTGGCTCCGGGCATTCAAAATGTGGCCCGGGAATGGAGTTCTGGGAACTCGAAGAGCACGAAGTGGCCTACAGTTGGCTCCGGGCATCAAAATGTGGCCCGGGAATGGAGTTCTGGGAACTCGAAGAGCACGAAGTGGCCTACAGTTGGCTCCGGGCATCCAAAATGTGGCCCGGGAATGGAATTCTGGGAACTCGAAGAGCACGAAGTGTGTGACTGTTGCATCCGGTTATTCTAAATGTGGCCCGGGAATGGCGTTCTGGGATGTCGATGAGCACGAAGTGTGTGACTGTTGCATCCGGGTATTCAGAATGTGGCCCTGGGAATGGAGTTCTGGGAAGTCGAAGAGCACGAAGTGTGTGACTGTTGGTGAAAAACGAGCCCGGCACCCTGCCGCCCGGCAACTCCCCAACACCTGCCCGGACCCCCCTGTGGAGTGATCTGTGAGCTCTTTTGAGTCAACTAGAAACCTATCAGTCTTCGCTGTTAGGTAAAAACTAGAGTTTTTGATATCCTTCCTGTAGAAGGACGTGCCCGACTTAAGGAGAGGCGGCGGCGGCCTCCTGGTGAGCACCCGCCCGTCGGAAGGAGTAGGTGGAAGCTTGAAGCAAGAGGACGGACGAAGTAGATCGACAACCTGCCAGACCATCCCAACCCAACCCGAAGACCCAGATTTCGTTTTTCTTGGGGGGGGTTAGGGTTCCACATGTGTTTTTGTTCAATGCTCCCCGACGTCGCCCCCCCGGCTGGGAATGGAGAGCAAATTGGGGCCTTCGGGTTGGGTTGGGGTGGTTTGGTGGGTGTTCTAGATTTGGTCCTGGCCCGAACAAAGAAGAACAAACACAACATCACATGTGGATTCTTGAAGTAGAAGGCGCTTGAAGCAGATGGGGACCTGAATATCCAGAAGTACTTACTCCCGACGGCCGGCGTGTGTGGGTAGCAAGTGCACGTGATGTGCGGCTCGCGCGTGTGTATTGCTGTGTGCTCGTGTTCCGTGCGATTGGTGCACGTTCATGCTGTGTGCTATGGTCGTGTGGTGGTGGCGTATAATGTTCGCGTGTGATGTTGGGATGCTGCTGGCTTTACCTGATGGACGGATGTTGCTGGTGTGCCATCACTGACTGGCGCAGATGTCTGTGATTGATCTACGGTGCCGACGTGTTGAGTACTTCCTGATGTATACCGATAGCGCCTGTTAGTGATGTGTGATTGATCTAAGCCGTTGAAGCGCGTGCTCGGCGTATGCTCGGAATGTCTGTGGACGCCGCGGCGCCGTGCCGCCTGCCAGGTGATTATTGATGTCTGCAGTTGCTGCCTTTCCTTGATGAGCTATGCAGGACTGGCGGGTGGGACGCTTGGGCCGCTCCAGAGTTTTTGGGCCTGGCGGCCATGCTGCAGTCCGGGCGCTGAAGAAGGAATCGTTTTCGTTTGGGAGGTGCTCAGCGTTTCTTGGTTGTTTTACAGCTCGCCTTCGGTTGTCCTGAGGGCTTCAATGGGAAGTCGAAGTTTTATCGATGGAACCGTCAAAAACCCTCGTTCCTTGTCTAGGGTTCCTTAAGTCAAAGCCCCGACTGTTTGCAACGCTGGCGGGACTTGTTGTGGTCGCCTCAGCCATCCCGTGTTAGGCCCTCGTCGTTTTGCACAGAGCACTGCTGTCGCCACTTTCTCCTCCTCCCGCTGCCCTTCCCCTCCTCTCCCATCTTGCCTCCCACCTGCCTGCTATCCGACCTCGTGTCTCGCCATCCCTGGAGGCTACGAGCTGCGGAACTGCTGCCACTCGTTACGGCTGCACATGGGGACCCAGCGGAGTGACGTCTTAAAGGCGTCCGAACTAGACATCGCCTCCCAGGGAGCCTGCGAATTGAGACATCGTCTCCGCTTTCGAGGGCTGCTAGGGGGTCTATCGGAGTGACGCTTGAAAGGCGTTGGAACTAGACCTCCCCTCTCTGCGGGGCCGCGAACTGTAAAACTGGTGGCATTTCCATGGGCCGCTGGGGTCCAGCGCAATGGCGTCTGACAGGCCACGGAACTAGGCCTTCCATGGTGTGCTGAAAACAACAAAACTGTCGCCAACATTCGAGGGCTGCGCGGGGGTCCAGCGGAATCACTGCTCAATCTTGGAACCTCCCAGGGCGTCATTGAGCTCTCCTGGGCCACGTTGGCCTTGATCATTACATTAACCAATTGTCCTTCGGACCTGCACCTTTTCGAAGCATGTCAAACATGGGAGTCATGCAACGCGCGCGCATCCCATGAAGGTTGGGTAACAAATGACGGTCCCTGCATTGTCGTTACGCCGCGTACTTTTCACACCAATTTGGGCCGACTGCTCTCGCCAATGTTTGCACATGGGTTGGGCGGTCGCAGCATCGTGTTCTGTAAACCCAATTAACCAAAATCTGACGGGTGGGGAACACTTGAATCCTGAGGCCCAGGTCCTGGCCTCGCCTGCGGGCGAGATGTCGACCCTTC